GCCTCAAGGATTGAAATTGGAGCCATGTTGCAGTTTGCTTTGATATTAGCACCATGGGTGCCCCAGAGTCACCACCACTCTCAAGTGAACTATTTGCTGCAGCAGCCCCTCAAGCTCAGCTCTTCTACATGTATCTAATTTAAGTTAACAAATCAGCTATGAGAACAACTGAATTGCTTTCAGCAATATGAAATCAACTGGTGAAGGTGTTGTGCCAATTGGCAATGGACCTCTTCCTAGCATCCCTTGCAAAGCTCCTGGCCTCATCATCTGTGAAGCCTTGGTTCAATGCCATTTGCCTGGAGGAGTGGTAGTGCTTGGAGCTCCAAGATTCCAAAGTTCTCTTGGCCCACTCAGCACCAGGGTGACCAGGATCATAGACAAAAGGCATCATTGCAGATGCAGGTCTCTTGAGGCAAGCCTTGGCTTTGGCCTTGCCTTTGGCATGGGCCTTAGGCTTGGGCTTGGCTGAGGCTTTGGCCTTCTGGGCTTTGACATTGCCCTTGCCCTTGCCCTTGCCTTCACCTTTTGTTTTGCTGCCATTTCTGGCAAGCAAGGCATCATAGGCAGCCTGCTCAATGGAGGCACCATCAAGAGAATTGCCACTATGGACATTGCCAGGCTCATCAGTCTGGCCATTCCCATTCTCCAAGGCCAAAGGTGCAGCAACAGAAGCTGCAGCTGGCTGCACCTGAGGTGCATCAACAGTGCTAGTCCTGAGCTTGGGCTTGAAGCTTTCAATCTCTGCAGGAGAGGGTCCTGTTTGGCCATTCTGGAAATTGTGGTTCATGGTCAAGTTGATGTCATCTGCAGATGGCTTCCTGCTGAGATCTTTTACAATTGCTGCCAAACTGGTAGCAATCTCCATGAATGGAGCCATAGCCATATGAGAAGAAGTGGGTGATGATGAGGCAGCAGACCCAGCTGAAGGTGCTGCATGCACTGGCTTGGCTTTTGCCAAAGATGCATGGGTGTGCCTCAAAGGAATGAGCTTCAAAATCATAGGCAGCTTGTCAGGGATGATCTGTGCAGGATGCTCAGTTGAGTAGCAATGGGCATACAACTGTGGTGATAGCTTTGTTGGATCATCTGGGTACTTCACCACAAAGCACAAGCCATTGGCTTGGTCAGGAATGCTGGCAAAGCCCAGCTTGATATCCTGCACCATCTGGTACATGGTGGCTTGGTCAGGCAAATCCTGATAGCCACTCAAAATGGCACCCACAGCACTCTTCACAGACTGTTCTGCCAAACTTCTCACTCCCAAGCTCCTCAGCCTCCTGCACACTGTAGTAACCTTGGTGTGGTAGTTCTGGGAGTTCTTGATGGTATCCCAATCAGACATAGTCAAGTACTGTGGCACATTGATCCTCTGAGGTTTGTATGTGTGTGAATAGTCTTCTCTACCCTTCTCCCTGGTCAGGCTGCCATCAATGGCAACATTCACAATGCCTTTCATATCAGAAGTCAAATTTGGATCATCATGCAAAGCCTTTTGAATCTGCAAGGCATCTGTTGGGGAAAGACACATGGTGTCCAACTTGTAAGTCACATTCCTCAGCAAAGTAGATTCAATTTGCTCCATGTTCTTAGCACCATTTTGCTTCTTGAAGTGAAGAAGCTCCCCAACATCTTTGATCTCAGTGATGATATTGTCCACAGACCATGTCATGATGCACACAATGGCAAGCTGTGGCACAAGTTGTGCAACTACTATGATGATCCAAAATGCCTACCCTAGGGTGGCAACAATGTGCATGCCAATACCACATCACAAAAGCCCAATGGGCTTGTCATGCAAGATATGTCAAAAGCAAGATATTACCAATGTTTGATACATGGTGAGCAATTGTCATGCATAAGCCCAGTGGGCTAGACAGGGACACCAGCAAAAGTCTAAAAGGCTTCAAACCATATCCAGCAAAAGCCCCATGGGCATGATGATCAAGGCATGCTGGCTTCAGTACAAAGAAGGCAAAGAAAGCATGCTGGCTCCAACCCTAACACCCATTCATGTGGAAGCTGCAGTACACATACCATGAGGCAGTCACAAAGCTGACTCTTCAGCAATCTAGATACAAGTCAAATCAAAAGCCCTGAGGCTTGATCACTGCCAACCAAGAATTGTGGCTAGATTCAGAAATATCACAAGCCCAAAGGCTTGACACATGTACAAACTGTCAAAAGCCCAGAGGCTTGATGCATGTGCAAGCTTAGCCTACCAACATGACACAACCCATGCAGCAACACTTGTTTTTTTGCTTTGAATTATCTTTGGCATATCAAGACAAAGGTCTGTACTGATGCCACTGTATGTAGCTTTGCTCCAAAAAGTCACAATGTGGGATACCTGCATATGTCCACTAGTCACAACTGGCAATTCAATTTCACAATGACTTCATAGTAATCAAAGTGTCATAAATATATTGATTATGCAATGTAAATACAAAATTACTTGAACATATTTGAAAGCTAAATATAATTTCCAATGTTAGATTCTAAATTTAAATATTTCGAAATATGATCCTAAATTTGGATTCCAAATTTAGGTGCCTTAAAAAGTTGTTCTAAATTTGGATTCCAAATTTAGGTGCCCTAAAAAATGATTCTAAATTTGGATTCCAAATTTAGGTGCCCTAAAAAGTGGTTCTAAATTTGGATTCCAAATTTAGGTGCCCTAAAAAGTGGTTCTAAATTTGGATTCCAAATTTAGGTGCCCTAAAAAATAGTTCTAAATTTGGATTTCAAATTTAAATGTATTGATAAGCACTTGATAATATACTAATGAAATATTTGAATTTGGATTCCATTGAAATTACAATTAAGATATATGAGCATTCATATTAGTACTAAATATATAATGAAACAATCCATATGGATGCAGGAATTCAGTTTCAAAAACAATGTAGTTATGTATAGAATGATCCAATGTGTGTTGTATTTGATGAGAACAAACCAGTGTGACATGAACTCTGGTACCCACCTGGAGACAGGGAGCAACATTGCTCTTATCTTGATGAAACATCACAGGTGAAAAAAGGAATCTTCTCATATCAGTAGTTGTAGCGATCATCCATGCCAGTGTTGACATACATCCTCTGATGATCATCACAAAGATCTCTGAGTTGAGGATCCTCTGCAAGAAACCTGAGTGGTAAGAGAATGGCTGAATGGATTGGACCCACAAGTGGTACAAGCCAGGGCCTTCATGCATAAGTATAGTATCATAATACTTTACTATATTCTTTACATGGCAGTGTCCAATGTTCACAAAATCATTAATCAGTATATATCCAATACATGATACAAGATCATTTGCTCCTATTCATACTGGTTATGACAAAACCCAAAATTCAGCTCTTTGTGTACAACAAGGTACTTGTTGGTCAAATAGGTTGCTCTCTGATAATTGCCTGTCCTATAGGCAACCAGCATGGCACATAACCGAGCTTTGGCTCCAGTCTTCAAAACAGGCTTTTCTGGTTTCCAAGGACCATATGTCTTTCCACCTCCACCCTTTGTACCCTCAGGGACAGGTGGGGGCCTGAGAACCCTGGTCCCTTCCAAAAAGTCTGGCTGGGATGGTGCTAATGGGATGGCTGCACTTGGTGCTGGTGTGGCTGGTGGTGTCATGGAAACATCATCACCAGGGGATGTTGCTGGTGTTGAACCAGTCACACGGGCCCTTTGCTGCATGCAGTATTCCCAAATACTCATGATCTTCATATTGGTGCATGCAGTCTCTGAGTTCCAGGGGCTGTACATGGTCTGTAGATCTTTGGACACCCAACCAATCACAGTGGCATTCTGCCATGCTGAGTCATCATGGCTGTTCTTGACAACTTCACTGGAAAGGAAATAGGTGTCAAAGTGAGCTGAATACCATAAGTATGCAGTCTTCCTGGTAGCCAAAAAATCATCATGCAAACCAGTACCTCCTTCCTGGGACTTCCAAAGAGGATGCTTGGCATAGAACCCATGACAGTGGTATGCCCCAAAGTAATCCACCACCCATAGTTGATCATCAGGGATCACAGAGTCCATGGAAGATTTTCCAAAGACAATGGTGTCACTCTCAGCTACCTTTGGGGGAGAGCATGGGTCCTTCAACCCTTTGGAAATCCTCTGTGCCACACCTTCAGCTGGCTTGCTGCCTGAAGCACTGGCCTTAGGAGGTGGTCCAGGAGGTTCAGCTGGCTTCCCAGCTCTGGCAATGGCAACCTGTGGAGCAGCTGGCCTGATAACAGGCTTGGGAGCAGCTGCCTTGGCTGCAGAGGCCTTTGCCATTGCACCAGGTTTGATGAACCTGGAACTGATCACCATGGCGGGCAGTGGGTAATGTTGCAAATGCAGATGCCATAGTAGTTTCAAAACCATGTATCAGTATCATGTTCTATGATAGGTTCATAAGCCATGTATATTCCTTCCTGGCAAAATGGCATGAGTGTGCAACCCTTTTGAGCACAACTGTTGATACCAGAATTGCTTACATCATGTTTCAAAAGCCTATTGGCTTAATGATCCTGATGACCTCATGCATCACACAAGCCTTCCTGGCTTTGTTTGACCTTAAGGTTTGCAGAAATGACATGCATGCTAGTGGTGATACATGTGCACAATTCAGTCATCAAAAGTATGAACATGCACACAATCCAACAGCATAAGCCACCAGGCTTGAATCATGCACAATGCAAGCAAGTGATTTGTTTGCATCAAAGCATAAGCCTGTAGGCTTGACTCATGCAACCCTCATGCAAGTCACTGAATTGACTTTGCAACCCTCAGAAGCCCTGGGGCTTGATTCATACAAACATGATACATAATTTGGCAGTGGTTATTCAAATCTCAAAAGCCAAGGGCTTGCTTCATGCAGGTCTCATGCAATAAAGTACAATGGAATTCTTAGCCTAATTGGATTCAATCAAACACTCAGATCAACCCAGACCACCCCCCAACTCCTTGTTTTTGTTTTCACAGCTGGCATTCAAGAATCTGTGTGATCAATCCTCTTGATCTTCCTTGCTACTTTTGGCATACTTGCCAGTTTGGGTGTATGCCCTTCTTTTGTCATTATCACCATCAGCACCCTTGGCATACATCCATTTGCAAAACACACCAACATTTTCAGCAGTGTAAACAATATGCAAATCTTCAGTCTTTTTCTTGCATGCTCTGATGAGCAATGACCCAAAATCAGGCAGTTCAAGGGTAATGCTTTCAGCTCCATCTACAGTGGAAGCTTTCTTCCTTCTCTTGGCAGTCTTGCTGGACCCTGCATCTTCTTCAAAAAGGTCATTTGCCTGAAACTGAGAGGACATCTTTTGAGCCCTCATCCCCAAAAGCTCAGAAAGCCCCTTGCTGCCTTTCAAAGTTGGCTGCTTGCCCACTGATCCTTCTGTCAACAAATTGCATAACCCATAGTTAGCTGTTACAATCTGGAGCCACTTGTGGTCACCACTGTCTTTGATCAATGGGCTTGGGATCAGCCACTTTTTGCCAGTTGTTGCAAAATAAATGTAATGTTGAAAGCCTAGCTCCACTTCAGACTCTTGCCCATCAGCCATGCCACTGATACACCAAAGGGGTTGGGCATAGCCAGCATTCAATTTCAATTGGAGCCAAAACTGCATGGTTGACATGGAAGTTTGCCAAGGGGATGCTGAATACAGCCAATGGTACATGTTGAGAATGATGTGAAGCCCAAGGATTGAAAAGACAAACTTATCAACCTTGCAACATAATAACAGTAAGCTGCCCAGACCAACAAATGAGCAGAAGCCTTGCAGGCTTGAAGGTTATGACAAAAATGCAAGAAGCAATCAGAAGCATGATAAATCATGCAGTCCTCTTTAAATAGCACTCCATGATAAGCTTGACATTGAACAGGTAGGCCTGCCTTCATAGGGATCATGGTGTAAGCCCTTGGGCTTGGCATGGCAGGGCATAAACACTTTGGCTTCAAGTAGATGTGAACATAAGCCCTTGGGCTTGGCTTGGCATGTTCAGTGGAAGCCCTTGGGCTTGACATGGATACAAATAGAGCATGTTATCATTGGATTCAGCTTTGAACACTTGACATGATGCATCATGGTCACCAAATTATCAAGCCCTTTATAGACCATGTTTTGAACCTTTGTGTCATGCACCTGTGGGGCCACTGCAAAGAATAGCAAGAAAATACCAAATCATTTGGTTCAAGGCTTGACCCTGGTTTGACATTGACCCTGGTAGGTAGGCATGCCTTCACATGGATCATGGTGTAAGCCTTGGGCTTGGCATGGCAAGGCATAAACACTTTGGCTTCAAGTAGATGTGAACATAAGCCCTTGGGCTTGACATGGATACAAATAGAGCATGTTATCATTGGATTTGGGCACTTGGCATACACCATGGTCACAAGCAAGAAAATACTCAATCTTTTTCCATGATTCACCATGGTTTGAACTGCATATGCAAAAACTTGCACTCATGTGCTTCACTCCCTTCCTTTGGCAAAGATTGGAAACCAAGCCACACTCATTGTCATGGCTGCATCAACATGAAACCAAATAGAAACACATATTTGGCAACTCAAACCAAACTAGTTTCACTGTTTCTTGTGCTTCTTCAAAGGAGGGCCCATTGGATCTTTGTCCTTGGGTGGTGCCTTCAAACTCAGCTGGCAGTGGGCTGAGACAGGGCTATTGTTGGTCAAGACTTTGATGTTGACATCCCCCAGCTTATGGCTGTGGGTGATCCACTTAAACTCTAGCAAACCTTCTTCATCTTCTTTTGAGCAAATCCAAAATGGGCACATAGTACCCTCATAAACCTGCTTAGTTTCATCCCACTTCACAGCCTTGCTAGGTGTGATGTAGTAGGTCTTCATCTGAAAGGTAACCTCCCCAAAGATCTTGACTGGTGGCTTCTTTGTCACAATGTTCTGGAGCCTCTCAGGGCATGGCACCAGCTGAATGTAGTTCTTCTTCATATCCTTCTGGGCAAAACACATGGCATGAGGTGTGCTTTGGACCATGACTTCATGCTCATCCATATCCAGGAAATTGTATGCCTCCTGGAGAACAACAAAGAGGGAACACTTCTCTGTTTCTTCCATGCATGGATCAGAGTTGGAAGGCCACATCAGTTGCAACTGGGCATTTGTAAAGAGCTTGGGCATCTTGGACTTGGTGGCTTTGAGATGAGCAGCAATCTCTGTGGAAAGAAAATTCATGGTGATCTTCTTGGTGGGTTCCAGTAAGGGGACATGCTCCAAGGTCACCTTGTCAGCTTCTACAGCAACTAGGGTGAAAATTCTGTTGGCTGGCTGGTCTTTGACAGTGAAATTGTTGCCAACCTTCAGGTCCAACAACTGGGCTGCCAAGAACATAGGGTTCTTTGCCTGCTGCAAGTCAAAAGCTACCTCCTTGGAATCCTGGGTGCCTGAACCACTAGGCTTGGATGTACTGGCTGCAGCACCTGCACTTGTTGCCCGTGCTAAGTCATCACTCTGAAGCATTTCTAATTCATCCATTGTTTTTTCTTTGCCATCCTTGCTCTGTTTCTCTTTGTTGCATAGATGGAGTGCATATCTACAACAGCTCCTGCCAAACAACTTGTAGATCACAGCCTGGTCCAACTGGGTTTTGTTGACCTTGTCCCAAAACTTAGTCAAAGAAGCCTCTACCTCATTGATCTTGGTTTCATACTTCTTCTGTTTCAAGCCAGCAACATCTGTTTTGGTGATGAGCTTGGCCACTGAGTCAACCACCTTGTCAGTAGTGCAGTTGGCCACCACCAATGCAAGCTTGACCATGGGGTGCAAAGTGGTCTTGGAAAACTGGGTGTCAACAATTGTGGTCATAAATTCTTCTCCAAGAATGGGGTTGCCACCAAATTGTTTGGACATGTAAGCCAAGAAATTGATCATGGGACCTTCTTGCCCACCTGCAGGGATTGGGCAACATATAATTTGACATGTATTTGCACTAAAAAAATAATGATTTTCTGGGGTTCACAGTCCCTCTTTCTTGCTTGAATTCGAAACAACCTTGCCTCCATAGAGCTGAACAAATTTGCCAACATGCTTTGCATATCCTTGAAGTGCACCTCCATGGCAGAGATCAACAGCACTCTTGGTATACATGATCTCACCTGGCAACTTGCCTTTCTGGGACAGCACAATGCTGGACATGAGCTGCACCTCATTTTGCAGTTCATATGTTGAGTTGGAGCTGTTTCCAGCACTTTCATTGACTGAAGGAAGGCTTGGCCACTTCTCAGCAACCACATTCTTGACAATAGTCCACTGCCAGCCTTCATGGATCATTTTGGCCAACTCCTTGTCCTTCAGCAAATGGCTGCCCAAGTGACCATTGGGCCCAGCAATGCTGGACTCTGAGGTCTTGCAGCAAGCAACAATTGCCTTGCAAAATTGAGTGGTGTGGCCCTTGGCACAAGTGAGGTACCTCTCTTTGCCTGTTGGCATGGCCATCAAATTCTCTGAGTCAACAACCATTTTCTTGTTGAACTCAATTTGGGATTTCCTTGTGCCCTCATCAGTGGAAATTTCAATGGCAACACTTCCACCCAACTGCATGTCTGCACCTGCAGCAATGATGGTGGACCCCTTCCTGTGCATGCTGAAAGGGTTGATTCCAGTGCCACCTCTATTCAAGGGATGACAAAGGAACAAATCAGGGGTGCACTTCTGCTGGTAAGCCAGCCCTGAATCCAGCAAAATCTGCTGGATCTCACTCCACTGGCTCATCACACCCATGGAGGAACTCAGGACTTCATCCACTTTTCCACAAACCTCTAAGGAGATATTTGCCATGGCGACAAACCAAAAAAGTTGCATACACTTTGATCTTCAAGCTTGCAATATAATCAGCTGACAGTTGCAACAAAGCAAAGCAAACAATGCTAGCAACTGGCAACAACATAAGCCCATGGGCTTGAAGATGTCACATTTCAAATGTAAGAGTTTGCAGCCCCAGCTCCACATGGCAGCCCCTAACAATTTCAAGGTTGCAACCCAAAAGCCCAAGGACTTGATCATGTGCTTGTAGACAACTATATGAAGATATGCATGGGTACACCCTACACATGTAGCATGTCTTGTATTCAGAATCTTGCAAATACATGGCATTGGCAAACCTAAAAGTGAAGCACACATGCAGTGAGGGTATAGAAACATGTTCAAAAGCCTGCTTGGCTTGAAAGCTCATCTGTAAAAACACAATGATGCCAGACTTCAAATGCACACCCACTCTGCAAGCAATTTTTTGTCACCCCAGGCATGTTCAAAAAAAATATTCAGACATATCATCAGCACCTTTACACTTTGAGCCATGACCTACCATTGTTGCAGATCCACTATCTAACTTCCAGCTCCTGCAGGCCTTTCCAGCCAGTATGAATAGCTATTGCTCACAAAGCTGGCTGTCCACCTTCTACCACACCTTTGGCACCTGTAGCTCCATGGAAGCTTCCAACACCAAAGCCACCCAGGACAATCTTGAGCAGCGCATTGGATGTAGGAACCATGGGGGTGGCTCTGGGCACTGAACTCCCTGGATTCATCTTCACTATCCATGGGCTCAAATCTCAAATTGCCCCTTTGGGTTCCCATTGTTTCAAAGCTTATGGAGATTGCAAATGGCTGCATGCAATCCTAAATACCTGCAGCAGTAGGTAGGCATGTTGATACACAACAAGAGATAAGCCTCAAAAGGCTTGAGTTTTTTGGAATATGCATATGCCAAGTCTACACCAACCACAAACCAAAACATGTCACACAAGGTACAAATGGATTTGGCAGTTTGCATACCACATTGAACATCAAAATTTCCACCATGACTCATAAGCCAATCTCAGGCTTGAAACTTGAAATTCTACAAATTTCAAATTAAAGTGTTGGTGCACAAACATGAAAAAAACCAAGTGGCTTGACAAGTGCATGCAATGGCCAAGCATTTGGGAATCAATTTAAAAAACAAAAAAAACACCATGGCTCCAAGGTCTTGTCAAAAAATGCATTGTTTTTTTACATGCTAAGTACTTAGCAAATGTTGCTAACTACAGCCTTAACATTTTATATAACTAGTGCTAACCAGTTAACTCAGGAGCCATAAGTATAGTTAACCTTTTATAAACTATTTAGGACTTAGCCTTCAGGAAGGCTAACCTTTACCAAAGTTACAACAATTATACTTATGTTATACCATACTTATACCATACTTATACCATACTTATAAACATACTTATACCCAATACTAACTTAAGCAAACCGCCGGTTCATCCCAGTGTGTGTAAAAGCTTTTGTGTGTAAAAGCGTCTGTGTGTAAAAGCGTTTGTGTGTAAAGGCTTTTGTGTGTCAAAGCGTCTGTGTTGTGTAAAAAGTATCTGCGTGTAAAAGCGTCTGTGTGTAAAAGCGTCTGTGTGTAAACGCGTCTGTGTGTAAAAGCGTTTGTGTGTGAAAGTGTGTGTGCGTGTGTAAAATGCATCTGCGTGTAAAAGCGTCTGCGTGTAAAAGCGTCCGTGTGTAAGACCGTCTGTGTGTAAAAGCTTTTGTGTGTAAAGG